AAATTAATTCGACGTGCCAATTGATAAAAAGAAGAAGAAGAAGAAGAAGAAGTTGAATGAAAGAAAATAAGCCATTTTTAGGGAGTGTTTGGTTTACTTCCCTGGGCAATGTCCCTCTTTAAGGATTTTGTAAGGGTATTTTGATACTTATATATCTTAAAATTATAATGAATAAATGGCAAAAATGGCATTTTTAGTCTTTATTTTCCTTGACACAATCCATAAATATTTCTTCTTACCTTTTTTCTAAGGGAAAAGTTTTTAACTTTCTTACTAAATTTCCTTATATCATTTTTTTACCAAACACAACAAAATTTCATTATAAAACTTAATAGCTTTTCATACCATACTTTAACCAATCACTTTCTTGAGAAAAGTTCGTTAAAACTTCATTTAACCAAACACACCCTTAGTGTTTAAGTTATTAAAATTTAAGGACTGTTTTTGTTTAAAATTTGACTAATAAAAGAACTAAATTATAATTAATCATTTATTTTAAAATACATTAACGTTAGTTATTGCTTTTAACGGAGACAACAAACACCGTTAACAAACGATGTTACTAAAGGGTTGATTTGCATTGTATAGTGGAGTTTGAGGGCATGCATCTTTTTTAGTTTAGGGGCTTACATGTTAATATGGGGTAAGTTTGAGAGCTTTAGCATTGGGTTTGCCATTTAGTGGTGGAGAGGAGAATAGTTACCCGAGAAAGGAGAAAAAGAACGAGACGACACTCGACAGGGAATGGGAGAGGGTAAGGAGAGAAGATGATTGGTTTAATGGAATTTTAATTACAAATAATTTTGCTTATTTTTTGTATAGAACTAATTTTGTTTCGTTAAAATCTAATCAATGTTAATAAATAATAATCATTTAAGCATATTTCATAAAAGGTAATCATTTAACTATATAAGATGAGTAGGGATCTCCCTCATATAAGATTATTATTTTTTTAAGAATTTATTATTTATATAGTCTAATTAAAAAGTGCGAGTTCTACTAAATTCCACTTAACTCATTGAAAAAAGATGAGACAACATGAAAGGAGAGAAGACTATTGGTTTAATTGCATTTTAATTTCAAATAATTTTGTTTCATTAAAATCTAATAAATTTTGTAATCAATTACCTAAATAATTCAGTGATCATCTTCTTTCGTTAGAAGTAAGAGGTCCTAAATTCAAATCGCATGATATGCGATTAGAGTATAATAAGGGATATGAGATGATTGACTCTCATTGTACAATTAAGATAAAAAAATTATAAAATAACAATCATTTAAGCATATTTCATAAAAAATACTCATTTAACTATTTAAGATAATTATTTTTTAAGAATTTATTATTTATATATAGACAAGAAAAATAATGTATGCCAGCAAAGGGTAGTAATATTTTTTTTTAAAAAAAAAAACTGATATATGTTGGTGTTTTGTAATCTGTTATGTACAAATTGCAAACACATCAATCCTATATTCAATGTGATAAGAGTCATTAATTATGGAGCTGATATTTTACACCTTCACACAAAATGAACTACAAAACATTTTTTTATTAGAACAAAAAAACCATTACTCGACATAGCAGCCAGAAAATGATCCATCACCAATTTAACCCATCCTTTAATGAAAAGTTAATTTTTTTTATATTAAACCCTTTGATATTTAGAAATTATATTAAGTTTTAATTAATTTAAAGTCGACCCGAATCAAAACTCATAAGAGAGAAAACTCTCTTAATGTTTATTTTTCCATTTACAAAAGTTGAACTCGAGATCTTATTGAAATGGAGCCAAATCTCTTCTACTTAAACTGATAAATCGTTAGTTAACACAAAGTTAATAAAAGAACTAAAAGGATGCCAAAACTAATTATTGAAAGACTATTGTAGTATTTTTCAAAGTTTAGAGATCATTTTAATACAAAACTCAGAGTTTACATACCATTTTTGTATTTTAATTGAAAAATAAATATATGCATGAAACAACATAAATTTAAACAAATGAGAAAACAGAAAAGAACCCGTAAGTGTTGGCAATCGCCTCCAAATTTGGGAACTATTCCCCTAGTTTGCCAAAAGAAATTAGGAATTTCTTAATAAAAAATGGAATTTCAGAGGAAAAATTACAGGAGTTCGGAACTTAATTCATAATTTTGGAAAAAAATTGCAGCCGCCAAGTATACAACAAAAATGATATGCTTATAATATCAAAAAGCGTTATAAGCATACGATAAAAACAATTTTAAAACACATGGATACTGAGTTGAAAGGGAAACCATCCTAATAGAACAATGAATGAAAAACTGATATCATATGAAATTAGCAATAATGTCATAAAAATAAGTTATCTGGCACAAAAACTCGAGTTCAGGGGCTGATCTTCCACAAGAAATAATAGAGGAGTTGATTTACCACAACCAAGCAAGTTTGAGGGCCGATTTGCCATTTTTTCCAAATTGGAAAACCAAATTCAAAATGAGTATGTATCTACTTTAGGCTTCAACTTCACTCATAGAAGGCCCACCCAACAAAAAAACGATACCTTCCCCTTGCCTTGTGCCCATTAATTTTTCGGTAATTCCATTGGCCAGCTGAAGTGTCGTAAAATTCCCGGACCGAACGCCACGCATGTCGGTCGATGCGTGCATCACCCATCTCATCTCGACATCATCCTTCAGAGTAGAGCAAAAAATTCTATCATTCTCATATTCTCACCTCATCTTCTCTGACGGACAAATCTTCCAGCATGAATGAACTCCAAGTTTTACTATTAAATTTTAAATTTATAATTAAGACTGCAAATAAATATATTATTAAATTACATGACCGGTAATTAAAATATAATGTTTTTTTTTTTTTTTTGTTTAGATCACTGCTATCCGAAAGTCCACTGAGCAATTGACTAATTCGAGTTCGATTTGAGTAAGATACAACAGGTAACAAAATTCCTTCTCATGAGTTTTAATAGAATTACATTTTCAGAATTTGAAATCAAGATTGGGTTAAATTGAAAAAGTCTTTATCAATTCATCCAGTTACTCATAAGTTAAAAAATGTAATTTACCTCTTAAAATTATTAAAGAAAAAATAATTTTAAAATGAACAAAAAGTATTATTGAAAACACTCATTTGATGGCAAGGATTATAGACCGTGTTAATTCTCTTTAGGCTTAGATTTTGTCCTCAAAAGGGACCTTATGAGGAAGGCGCTGATTTCTATTAATAAGTCACAACTTTATTTAATTTATTTTTAATGTAAAATTCTAAATAGGATTCAACCTCTTTCCTAATAAGAAATTTTTTAAAGACAAAATTGTAAGGTGAACAAGTGTAACACAACAAAATCTTTAGCCTCAACCCACTTTTAACACCAAAAATGAATCGAATGAGTGGCAATT